GGCCTCTGAAAAATGGTTCCATTTTCATAAAGCCTCAACAGGAATAATACTGAACTCCATGACCTAAAAAAAGATGCTTGGTAATACTTAAAATCATTTTGTATTGCATGTTATTCTTTTCAAAAGATTTTCAAGCTCATTACCTCCTAACCACAACTCTATTTCATAGGTCTGATGCTGTCACTTTACAAATGACAAAGCTGAAGATCAGAAAAATGGAGTCTTGTGGGGTCTCACAACAACATGGTGCAGGAGGCAGGGCTAAATCAATGGCCTCCTCAATCTGTGTTCCAAGTGCTCTTAATAGAACTCACTGCGTTCAAAGGAAGGGTTCCCTTCTTCATATCTGAAAAAATCACTAACCAGTGCATAGTATCTTGCAGGACAAGGAGATATGACGTAAGGAGTATGCCAGTAGATCCAAGGCAGCAAGCAAGAAAAATGTACAGAAAGACTTTCTTTTAGAAAGTAGTCAAAAGAAATCAAAACCGCTATTTATATGTCACGTTTTACGTTATTGGCATTAAAAATGTTGAGTGTCCTAGAACAAAACTGTTTTTTTCCAAAATATTCTCCACCCTACCTCAGAACAAATCTCATTAGAAATACTTGCATCTGGAGACTTATTAGTGGGAGGGGAGGAAGAACTTCTGTGTAATTTCCCTCCATAGGAGGGAAGAGTAAATCACAATCCTGCCCTTAGTCACTCCAAGCACAAGAACAGCAAGTAAGTTTTCAATTCTGTGCTTATATAAAAATCTACTCTTTATCAGTGTTTATCTGTTTGTCATAGTTTCCAGTGTGTGGTCTGCTATTTACTCATCTTGGTGTACAATCTGTTGTCCTTTAGATTGTAAACTTCAGTAGGCGAGACCATGGGTGTCCTGCCTGGATTTATACAGGTAGAGCACCAAGCCACAAGCATAGAGGCATCAGATGCTATTTGATAAGTGGATTACATTACACTTATACTAACTCTATAACAGATTAAATTTGTTCTACCGAAACAGTGGGGATTAGCACTAACTAGGCCATTTGGCCTTAGGTATACTGTTCTCTGGCATTCACACAGCTAGCTAACAAGCAGCTGCAATGCCTTCACTTGTTCTTCATATCCCAGATAATATATATGCTTCCCTACTTCATTTAACTGCTCCAAAATAAAACATCTGATAGTCCAGGGTCTTTTTATCTCCCTGCTAAATACACATTTTAGGGGGAAACTGCCCCATTAATTTCAAAAGATATGGAAAAAACAACAACAGCAGCAAGAACAACCTTAAGATAATGCTTCAAACTTGAACCACACCTGTCAGTCACTGGGCATAGCGTGGCTTGAAAACGTCCTGGCCTTAAATCCTAGGTAACCAAGAATATAATTCTATTTCTGACTTGAGTCACTGCACACATCATTTTTTTTGGGGGGGGGGTCCTAATTTATTTTCTGGTACAAAGCATTATTCAAATGTAAATACCATAATCATATAGCATTTTTGACTACTTCTCCCAAACACGTAAGTTTGATCAATCGTGATTTCTTTTGTTTTCCTAGCAACCTGTTTCCTCAAAGCTCTGAAAAGGGCTTTCTGTCAAGATCCTAAAGGAAATACTCCAGAAGAAATCTTGACTGTGATGATACTGTTTTTAGATGAAATGCCAGGAAGCATGAAGTCCTGAAAATGACCTGTGAGATAAACTAGTTATATTGGACAACAGATTTCCTCTCTAATCAAGTGTGTAAAAACTGGAGGAATGAGAACAGTCATAAGCCCAGCGAAGGGACTAGGAAGTGCACAAGAGTAAAATGACTAACAACAAGGGCAAAACAATTCTGAGAAAAGTTTAAAATAACCAGTGAAAGTCCATCATGGAAACAGAAGATGTATGAACTCTAAAACAAACAAAAAGTTGGATCTTAGATTTTCCCCCATATACATTACAAAACTGCCCCAAAAGTCTACCTGAATCCTCAGTGAATTTTCAATCTCCAGATAAACAAGTTACATCCTGTATTTAAATGCACTAAAGAATACAAATTCATGTTAGGAATACTTGATTTTTAATCTAAGCGTTTTACCTTCACTTCTAAAACTCTATTCAACTACAAGGTAGGTTCCCAAGGGCAGCTAATGCCCTGCAATAAGGCACCTTGTTCTCCCCGAAGTACATACCAGCTCCTATTTGGCAAAATCTGGATAAAATGAAACACAGGTTCACAATTTTTTAGGTAGAGAGAAAAATTTTCCTGGAAGCTTTCCCCAGGCCAGCTACACAGCATCTTAGAGTTAAGCCAGGTGAAAAGAGCAAATGGAAAGACTTGCTTGGGGTCTCCTTTGTCAGTCTGATGAGCACAGGATGGTTTGTTCCCATCTTCCAGCATCCTTGCTCACATCTGCTACTTTACTTTGTTTGCCATGGTGACCTCTATCAGGGACACTATTGAAGGGGGCCCTCATCAAGTAGGATGTTCAACTGGGATCCCCAAATTCTCCAAAAACATCAACCTCAAATACTTGTAGAAAATCCTAATGAGGTAAAAAAAAAAAAAAAAAAAAAAAAAAAAAAAAAGCCATACTTGGCACGATTTTCTGTTCTTCATTATACACAAATGAGAAGTCAGAACACTACTGAAAATGTTCCCACAAAGTGGGAATCAATTTCCCTAATATGGCCCAAAGCCCTAAATATAGCCCCAATTTTTTTTGGTTCAAATACACTCAGTCAAACTTGTGGATAGAGGAAGTGGTGGTCGGCAACTGGGCAAGGAGCACAGAAAACAATGACAATGTAACTGCCACTATGTCCTCCTGCATTCAAATGGCTTTAAATGTCCTTGGCAAAAGCTGCCAACATACAGACACCTGTAACATCACATGCCCCTTCCGCTCCAGGCTTTGTACCCTTGATAGTCTGGGTTACAGGGAGGGAAGGGACGAAATTACACACCTTGGGTCCGAAGTAATTCTACCATTCTGAGAAGTACATGGCATCACTAGTACTCAGCCTAGCAAAAGGCATAGAATTCCCACTCAAATTATAAGGCTCGTTAGCCTAAAGAAAACATGAGAATTTAACTCGGGGAGTTTACAGTCCTCACAATACGCCTTCCATGTGTGTGCGCGCGCGCACACACACGTTATTTAATTTTCACATGACCACAGTGAGAGACTGTTTTAAATGATGGAATTCAAGAAAAGCAAAATCTAGAACATAAAACTTAATTCAGAATTTATTTCGAAGTTTCACTTCAAACTTTTAAAAGGTTTATTATACTGGGTCTAGATCTGTTTAACAATGAACTGTTTTTGCAAGACATTCTGGCCAAAAAGTACCTAGAAGAGTGTCAGACTTGGGAGTTAATGCTCAATTTTAAAATGTGCTGAAAAATTGTTAAAGATCAATAAACCCCTCAACATACTTGTGCTCAAAAGCAATATAGGACATTTTAAGGCATCTTTTAAAAGTTAGCCCTTGAAATCAGAATAGCATAGGGATTTTAAAGACTGGAATCTGTGGTCAAACTGCTTGGGTCAAAACACAGGCTCTACCACTGACAGCTGTGGATTTTGGGCAAGCCGCCTAAGTTCTCTGGGACTCTAAGTTTCCTCACCTGTAAAATGGGACTTATAATAGCACCTACCTCACCGCATTGATAGAAAAGTAAACGACAGAAATCAACATAAAGCATTTTAGATAGTAAGCTCCCCATAAATGCTATCAATATTCAAAGGTACGTGTTCGAGAGATCAAATCTATTAAATATACATTATCAGCTTTGATCACTTGAAATCTCGGAAATTTCATAATTGCATCTTACTCCCCCTTTCCACACATCATGCGGCTTCAACCTTCCAGATGATGTGGAAATTACATACTTTCATTCATCCGTTTGAGAGCTTGTCATATATGGCAAGAAAGAAGAAAGATGCCTTTTTCGTGACTGTTGCTCCTTCAGAACTTCAAAACACTGTCACGTACACAATAGGTTGGAGCTGCCCTCAAAATGACAGCTCACAGCTTTGCTGGGCCCGCAGAGGCGCCCAGGCGGCTCTGCCCGGAAGGGGTTCACCCCAATAACCGGAGAATCTCCCGTCGCCACAGCCAAGCAAGCGCACGCCTGGGAACCCCAAGGAACACAAGAGAACTCTGAAATGGGGAAGGACCCCGAGTTGTGGAGGAAGAGCGGGAGGAAGGGTCACGGAGGGTCCGGAGCCACACTCGGATCAGGCGCGTCCACGCTGACAAGCCCGGGACCAGGTGCCGGCGATGGGCAGAGCCGTCCCGGACGGCCCCTTCCCCTACCCGTCCCCTCCCCGGCGAGCACCGAAGCCAACTCGGGTCCCGCGCCAGAGTAGCCCCCCGGCGCCCCTCACCTAAAGGCGGGTCCTTCCTTAGGAGCCCTGCCCTGGGCAGACGCCGCCGCGGAGCTGCCGCTGCTGCCCCTTTTGTTGAAGAGCTTCTGGAGCAGGGTCGGGGCCATGATGCCGCCGCCGCCGCCGCCGCCGCAGCTCCGGCCGTGGCGCTCGGGGGGCCGGCAGCTCAGCGCGCAGCCGGGGGCGGCGGCCGCGGTGGCGGGGCCATCGCGGCGGCGCGGCCGCCCAGCCTTGCGGGAGCGCGGGGCCGCTGCAGCTGAGTAACTCTGCTCGGCGCCGGAGCTGCCGGCTGCCGGTCATATGACTGAGCCGGCCCGCCGCCGCCTCGCGCGCTGACAGTTATCTCCTGCGGGAGGAGCCCGCAGCCCCACGGCGGCGGCGGCGGCGCGGGAGGAGCGCGGCGGCCCCGGCGGCGGCCATTGGCCCGGCGGCCGCCCGCCCCGGGCTCACGTAACCCCGGCTGGAGGCGGGAGGTGGGTGGTGGGAGGTGGGAGGTGGGAGGCGGGAGGCGCGGCCCGGAGCGGGCAGGCGGCCCAGTACTCCGGGCACGCGGGGGACGCGGACGGGGGCAGGCGCGGCACTTAAAGGGGCCTGAGGGGCGGGAGCGGCAGCCAGGGCGCAGCTCCGCCAGTGGCGTGGGGTTCCCACGGAGCCTGAGTTCTTTCGCACAGCGAGCATGCAGCTAGGCCGATCTTTGTTCTTTAGAGACAAAGCCCCTGAACTTGGGTCCTCGCTTTGTTCAGGTACAAGAAGAGCCCGTTCACAGAAGGCGTGTGCTAGGGGAGAGGGCTTGGTGCGTGCGGTGACCGCTTCGGTGGGCTGTGATCTGAATCACATAGCACTCAAGGTTTTGTCAGGTTTTCTCTATATCCAGATTCGATTCCTCCAGGCTTTCACAAAATTTAAAGTGTTTATCCAAATCATTTGTTCTGTTTGACGTCTTGGGCCACCATACCATGGTTATATAAGAAGTTGCATTTGAAATGTTAAGCCCCCCCTTTAAAACACACACACACACACACACACACACACACGGAACTCACTACATAGATTTAGAAACAAGATATTTTATAACAAGGCATTGTTTTTCCTAATACATATTTAACAATCAATCAAGGTATATCAGCGGCAGACGTTTGGTTTGAGGAAGGGAGGAGTTCGTGTGTTTGAGTCCACTTTTCTGCCCTGTCCCACCCCAGTCCCCTTTGGAATTTAATCCTTGGTGGTGCAGGGCTGTAAACAGCCAGTGTAGGACACGTTACCAGACTCAAAGCAACTTCTTAATCTATGTTTTAGAGTGTTGGGCTTCACGAATTTTTCTGATGATGGGAAATAGAGATAAAGTTAGTAAGATCCCAACCATGCCTCTTCTAGCTTCCCCATGAGTAGTGAACAGTGATTCACCTGGGCTCTCTTACACTTGTTGAGAGTAGGACTCTTGGAGACTCAAAAAGGGAAATATATTTCCAAAAACGTAAGTAATCAAAATAACCTATTCTGGGCCGATTTTACTTTGCATTTTCTTTTTTTAATTGTGTTAGTTTCTGGACTTGGTTGGGAACTAGCTGTGAATAATGTGCTGAAATTTCACAAAGGTAAGAGAAAGGTGGTAGAAATGGAAACTTAGTCATTTGTTTCCTTCCGACTTTTACTGTTAAAATGGTGGATTAAGTGTTTATCCTGATGAGCAATCATCCTTTTGCACAATTGAGTGTACACAGAACCCTAATTTGCAACTTTGCTATTTCTGTTTACTGAAGGCCTTTACCTCATAGGGCTGCCAGTGTTGGTCAGGATGCTATACAGAAGGTATTGGCTTTATACGTTGTGACTTTCAGATACAGTCCCAGGTCATACTATGGCCAGCAACACACCACCTTTTCTTACTCCATCCTTGGTCAGAAAATGCCCTTTATTCTCCAGATTAAAATCTGCATGTTCCTCATGAGCCTAGCAGCTTTTGTAACTGCATATGGAAGAGGAATTTGACATATTGTGCCTCGTTCCTCACTTCCTAGGATTCTTTTGGTTCCAACCCAGTCCAAATAGACAAGATCATCCAAAAGAGGCAATTAAAAAATCATAACCTGCTCCAGCCATCATCTTCAATTTTGGTTTTGACTGGGCAACTATAAAGGAAGAGTGTGTATTTAAAACTATTAAAGCCAGGACTTCAGTTAAAGGAGACAAAAGGAACCAAAATGCTTCCCCTCTCCCCTCTTTCTCCCTTCGCTTCTTCTCAGCATCGCATTCTTCCTCATCCTGGTTCTGGTCACACCTTCTGCTTTGGATTTTTAAAGTATACAAAAATCCTAGCCAAAAAAGTTCTGGGAGACAGTTCTAGCCAGCTCTCCCAGTCTTCTTGTTTTTTATTTTCATTTTATTTTATTTTTTCTTGGCTATTCAAAGTCGCTACAAAAACCCAATCTTTTGCCCATCATCCATTGGTCACTGCCTGGTCCTGGAGGCTTGTCATAATCTCAGTCTCCAGAACGGGTCACGTGGTCCATCGCCCAGTTCCATACATCTCCTTTATTCACCTCTTCCCACTCACCCTATCTTGGAAAATATACCAGCTGGCTGTTCCTGTATGCAGCTGTCAAGAGGAGCAGGGAATAAGACAATATCCTGAATGCTTGGAGATGACAGAACAACACTAAAATGGGAAAGGGGAAGTTGTAAAGGGCTGACTGACTTAGTCCAGTCCATTCTGAGTCCTGGTGACAGTTCTCAATTCGTGGGTATTATGTAAGTCATTTTAGTTCTGCTTCTGCAATTATACTGGCATTGATACTGTTTGTAGCCTGTGTAATACCTGTTACCCTTATTCCTAGCAGGAGGCAAGAGAGAAGGGAGCTGTAGGAAAAGGAGTAATTCTGGAAAGTTTCCTCACTCTTAATAGAAAGAGAGAGAGAGAGGTGGGTTTTTTTCTTCCTTTGGATGTTATATGTCTAGGTCTAATGCCATCTTGCTACAAGACTAAAGATGAAACCAGAACTGGAGGTGGCAAAGAGACATAGAAGCAAGCTGGGTCCTTGATGGCATTATTGAGCCACAGTCCCTCTACCCTAACCTGACACTCTCCATTAGGTGAGATAATATTTCTATTTTCTTATAGACCAGTCTATAAGAGGCTAAGGCAGGTTCTTGTTTTCTGTCTTCTTTATTGCTTGTTATGTGAGACAAATAATGCCAATCTGTTTATCTGTCAATATGCCAGAGAAAATACTCGTCACCAATGGTCCTGGTTCTGTTTTTTCATACCGTTAAGTCATTTTGCAAATCATTTACAAAACTAAGATTAAAGGAGTAGTGAAAAATAATTCCTTAAAAAATTTTTAATTTAAATATAGCAAACCCATTTTTTATTCTATATTTTCCTGCATTTGAAGGATTATTTACCCTAAGTGGACAGTGTTCTTTGAACGTAACTGACGACTTATCAATTAGCATATGTGAACCAGAACACAATCATCTTATAACTATTGATTCCAGGCTTCAAATACATTTTTTTTTTTTTTTTGGAGACAGAGTCTCAACCTGTCACCCAGGCTGGAGTACAGTGGCACAATCTCGGCTCACTGTAACCTCCGCCTCCTGGGTGCAAGCAATTCTCATGCCTAACCATCCAGGACTACAGGCACCCACCACCACGACCGGCTAATTTTTTGTATTTTTATTAGAGACAGAGTTTCGCCATGTTGGCCAGGCTGGTCTTGAACTCCTGACCTCAAGTGATCCACCTGCCTCAGCCTCCCAAAGTGCTGAAATTACAGGTGTGAGCCACCACACCCGGCCTCAAATACATCTCTAATGATTCTAACTGATCATTACCTTTGTGCTGCTTGCACTTGAATAAACAAAAAGCAGTGCTTTTGAAAACTTTGATGGCTCATCATTTTGTTGAAGAGACAGTAGTTATTTTCTTTGTTTCTTAGCTGCAAAATATTTTCATTTTTAGATTTATAAACACCAATTAGAATTAGCAATCCAGTGAATTTTTTCATCTCTTCCTTACAGATTTCCTTCCCTTCACCTTTGTATATATACATCTGCCTTTATCATTTGTTATCTTATAAACTATATGAAATATACAGGATGCACATCATGAAAGATGACAGTATATCACACTTTTTTAGGATGGCTCAGGTTCTTGTTGCAAAATATTGAATAAGGAAGTAATTCCTATTAAATGTCAAAGTGGATGAGAATACCCTATTTCCTTTTTATCCTTAGGTATATGTTGTTGAACTGTCAGTTATTGAGTTTGAGAAAATGTATCTAGGATATCATCATCTAAAGACTCATAGTCTGAGATTTCACTTACATGTTTCAGGCCAGGCACAATGGCTCACACTGATAAATCCCAGCACTTTGGGAGGCCTAGGTGGAGGATTGCTTGAGCTCAGGAGTTCAAGACCAGTCTGGGCAACAGCATGAGACCCTCTCTCCACAAAAAGTAAAAAAAAATAGCCGGGCATGGTGGTATATACCCATAGTCCTACCTACTCAAGAGGCTGAGACAGGAGAATCACTTGAGCCCAGGAGTTCAAGGAAGCAGTGAGCTATGATCATACCACCGTACTCCAGTCTGGGCAACAGAGCAAGGTCCTGTCTCTAAAATAAAATAAAATAAATAAAATTTCACCATCATCTTTATAGAGTCCTCTGTTTTTTTGCATTAGACATCTGCTTTTTCTAATTATTAGAAATATTTTTCTTTATCAATTTTCTTCTATTTGCCATTATGGGAAAAAATGAAAAATTCTGAATATTTATCAATGAAAACTTAAAAAAAAACAAACAACAAATACTATAAAAATAATGTCTCCAGATTTTTTTTCTGCCCTCTTAAAAGATGATACAGTGTTTGGGGCATTACAATAAGATAACAGAAGAATCATCTAATAGCGATTTATTTCACTTTTGTTCCCAGTGTTTCTGTTATAGCACCCACCTTACTATTTTTGTCCTGTCTTACACAGTTGGAAATTGCTGAAAAATGTTGAAATAATCCCTAGGATGGTGATATAGCAAAATTTCTGGAGCTAGAGGAAATCAGAATCACCAAGATCCTGTTAAGTTATGAAAGGGTCCAGTGGAACCTATGTGGGACTTGCAAGATAGAGTTTTATTATATGTTTCAAAATGGAAATTTACATATTTGGAAAAAGTAAGAGACTAAGAAAGAATGAAAATAATGAAATAGACATCCTTATAAGCAATTAGAACCAGCCAGGCACAGTGGCCCACACCTGTAATCCCAGCACTCTAGGAGGCCGATGCAGGAGGATTCCTTGAGCCCAGGAGTTAAAGACCAGCCTGGGCAGCATAGTGAGACTGTGTCTCTACAAAAAGTTAAAAAGAAATTAGGCATGGTGGCATGCACCTGTAGTCCCAGCTACTCGGGAAGCTAAAGTGGGAGAATCACTTAAGCCTGGGAAGTTGAGGCTGCAGTGAGCCTTGATCATGCCACTGCACTCCAGTCTAGGTGACAAAGGGAGACCCTGCTTTAAAACAAGCAACAACAACAAATAAAAGCAGAAGCTCTCAGGGAAGAAAACCTCAAAATCTAACATTGAATCTAATGAATCCTATAAATTGATTATTTCGGTATTTGCAGCAGAACTCCATCCACCTGACAATCTTAGAGTGGCAATCAGTGACTCCATGGTGCTGAAATCAAGGGACATTTTTCTCTTCTCTGAAATCAATTCAACTGACCATTTCTCCTTTTGGAAACTTTCATCTTTCAGTATTGCAGACCTCTTCTAGTTTTAACTAAACTTGTAGGCTACTCATTCTCCACTAGTAGGTCTTCTTTTCCCATCCTTTATTTATTTAGAGACAGTATATCGCTTTGTTGCCCAGGCTGGAGTGCAGTGGCACACTCACTCACTACTGCCTCGACCTACTGAGTTCAAGCAGTCCTCCTGCCTCAGCCTCCTGAGTAGCTGGGACCACCGGCACTCACCACCACACCCAGCTAATTTTTTTCAGGTCTTTTTTTTGAGATGGTATCTCACTATGTAGCCCAGGCTGGTCTAGAACTGCTGGGCTCAAGCGATCCTCCTGCCTCAGCCTCCTAAAGTGCTGGGATATTGCAGGCATGAACCACTCTCTTATCCTTTAAAGTATGAAATTCCTTGGGCTTCTCTTCTCTCACTTCTATTCTTCTCATTTGTATTCTTTAGCTCACTAGATAAACTCATCCATCCCTGCGACTTTAAATGCCGTTTATCTGTCGATGACACCTAATTTTTAACCTTCGATCCTGACCTCTCTTCAGAACTTTACAACCAGCTACCTACTTGATATCTCCACTGGGATGTCTTAAAAGCATCACATACTGAACTCTTGATCTTTGCTTGTTCCAAATCCTGCTTCCTTTGCCATCTTCCCTATCCCAGTAAATGGCACCTTCCTTCTACACATTTGTTTAAACTGAAACTTAGGAAGCATCCTTAACCCTTC